CTTACCCTATTGATGTCGTTAGACTATGGATAGACCCCTTGACGAGGGCTACGACATTGATTTTTGCATTTTTTCGGAGTAGTTCCCACGGTCAAGCTGCTTTCTTGAACCCTTCGATTCGAGTATTTTGCTTATAGTTCACTAGGATATTATCCTATTGATGTCGTTAGACTATGGATAGACTCCCTTGACGAGGGCTACAACATTGATTTTCAGGCACAGCAGGGACAGGGCACAGCCGCAGCAGGGACTCACGCAGCCGCAGCAGGGACTCGCGCAGCCGCAGCAGGGACAGGGACAGGCGACTGCAGGGGTGCAGTCTCAGGAAACATATAGATAAGAGCGCAGCAGGGACTAGTCTCTGGATTGGGGAGTCCCTGCAGATAGGAGGTTGCGAATTTCGCATTTTTGCCATTTAGCGTACGTGTATGCTGTTGTCTTGGGGTGCGCTTTTTGGTGGTCTTGCTGTTGTGTTGCTGTGACTGATTTGTTGTCCTTGATTTGCGGGGGTCTTTGATTTTGTAGCTTTGTTTATCGTATGCGTATCTTAGTGCTTGTCTGGAGGGTGATGCGTCGGGCGAGGACAGGATCTCGTTTTGACTTGACTTCATTTTGCTTGATTTTTGTGATTTTTGTGATTTTATCGCTGTGGTAGTTTGTTTATCGTACGCGTATCTTAGTGCTTGTCTGGGGGGTGATGCGTCGGGCGAGGACAGGATCTTGTTTTGACTTGACTTGATTTTGCTTGATTTTGCTGTTTTATTGCTGTTTTATTGCTTGACTTTGCTTGATTTTGTCTGTCTTGTTGCTGTCGTAGTCTTGCGTGTCGTCTTGCATTGCTTGTCTTGCGGTGACTCTAACCGAGGACACCGAGACACCGAGAGAATACGTTTTTTGGACGAGACAACGAGAAACCTAACTAAGCCTCTAACGGGCGGGGGGGTGGGTCGAACCCTAAACTCTAACGTGGTGGTTGAACCTAACTGCGCGTATTCTCTCGTTATGCTTATGAGCGTTTATCTTGTATCGTAGTTATAGCGTTGTCTTGTTCTTGGTCTGTCGGATTGTATTGTATCATGGTCTGTTGCGTCTCTTGACTTTGGTGCGTCGTCGTAGTCTTAGGTGTCGCATTTCTCATCCTTGACTTGGCTGACCCTCGTCCTCGTTTTGTGGATGCTTTCTTGATTTTTGACGGTCGTATTATATAGTTTCTTGTCCTTATCCTTGTCTTTTCATTGGGGGCGTTTTCTTGTTTGTTTTGACTGTCGTGGTCTACGCTTGGAGTCCTGAACCTGGTCCTTGACTTGGGAGGCGTTTTCTTGATTGTTTGGTGGTCTTTGCTTGCTTTGGTTATCTCCCTTGTCGTAGCCCTCGTCTGGTGGGCGTGATGCGTGGGTCGAGGGTAGGAATTTCGTTTGTTGTTGACTTGATTTTGCTTGATTTTTGCTGTTTTGTTCCTTGACTTTTCTTGATTTATGGACTGTCTTTGATTTCCTGGTCTCGCTTATCTTACGCTTAGCATGGCGCTTGTCTGGGGTGATGCGTCGGACTAGGACGGAACCTCGCTTTCGCTTGACTTGATTTTGCTTGATTTTTGTCGTTTTATTGCTGGGCGTTGCTTGATTTCTGCTGTGATGTGGCTGCGGTAGTCTTGTCTTTGGAGTGATGCGTGGGCCTAGGACAGGATCTCGTTTCGACTTGACTGCGTTTTGCTTGATTTTTGTGATTTTTTGATGTTTTGGTAGTCTTGTCTTGTCTTGTCTTTGGAGTGATGCGTGGGCCTAGGACGGGATCTGGTTTCATTTTTGCTATTGTGTTGCTTGATTTTGCTTGATCTGAGGCGTAGGTTTGGGCGAAAACCTTGTCAGGAGTGGGCTTGACTTTGCTTGATTTTTGCTTGATTTTGCTTGATCTGAGGCGTAGGTTTAGGCGAAAACCTGGTTCAGACTTGGCTTGATCTTGCGTGATTTTTGCTATTTTTTGCTATTGTGCGGCTTGATTTTGCTTGATCTGAGGGGTAGGCTTAAGGCGAAAACCTGGTTCGGACTTGGCTTGATTTTGGTTATTTTTGGTATTTTTATTGGTATTTGTGTTGCTTGATTTTGCTTGATTCATTGCTGTGGTATTGCTTGTCTTGGTATCGTAGTCTCTTGCTGCGGTATTGCTTGAGTTGCTGTGGTATCGTAGCGTAGCGTATTGTAGTGTCTTGCTAAGCTATGGTACCGAGAACCGAGACACCGAGAGAATACGTTTTTATACTAACCGACGAGAGAGCTAACGGGCGGGGTGGTGGTTTTCTAAGCTCTAATGGGTGGGGGGGTGGGGGGAATCTAACATATGATTGCCCTGCTTATCCTTATCCTTATCCTTGACTATCGTATTGTTATCGTACGGTATGGTATGGTGGTGTATCGCGTTGTTATCGTAAGTTATCGTATGGTGTGTTATCGTATGGTATCGTGACGTAGTCTATCGTATGGTATCGTGACGTAGTCTGTCGTATTGTTATCGTAAGTTATCGTGCGGTATGGTGTCGTAGTCTATCGCGTTTCTTATCCTTGTCTTGACTGTCGTATGGTATCGTAGTCCATCGTGTTTCTTGTCCTTGTCTTGACTATCGTATCGTATCCTATGGTATCGCGTTTCTTATCCTTGTCGTGGTCTTGACTATCGTGATCCTTATCTTTGACTTCCTTATCGTAGTCTTGACTATCGCGTTTCTTATCCTTGACTTGCTTATCGTATCGTAGTCTTGACTGTCGTAATCCTTATCCTTGTCTTTTGCTTGTTTTCTTGATTTTTTTGCTATCGTAGTCTTGACTATCGTATTCCTTATCCTCATCCTTATGGCCCAGGTCAAAACCTCGTTCAGACTTTGCTTGACTTTGCTTGATTTTTGCGTTTTTATCGGAGTAGTTCCCACGGTCGAGTTGCTTTCTTGAACCCTTCGATTTTGAGTATTTTGCTTGTAATTCACTAGGATCTTACCCTATTGATGTCGTTAGACTATGGATAGACTCCCCTTGACGAGGGCTACGACATTGATTTTTGCATTTTTTTCGGAGTAGTTCCCACGGTCAAGCTGCTTTCTTGAACCCTTCGATTTCGAGTATTTTGCTTATAGTTCACTAGGATATTATCCTATTGATGTCGTTAGACTATGGATAGACTCCCCTTGACGAGGGCTACAACATTGATTTTCAGGCACAGCAGGGACAGGGCACAGCCGCAGCAGGGACTCACGCAGCCGCAGCAGGGACTCGCGCAGCCGCAGCAGGGACAGGGACAGAGGCGACTGCAGGGGTGCAGTCTCAGGAAACATATAGATAAGAGCGCAGCAGGGACTAGTCTCTGGATTAGGGGAGTCCCTGCAGATAGGAGGTTGCGAATTTCGCATTTTTGCCATTTAGCGTACGTGTATGCTGTTGTCTTGGGGTGCGCTTTTTGGTGGTCTTGCTGTTGTGTTGCTGTGACTGATTTGTCTTGTCCTTGATTTGCGGTGGGTCTTTGATTTTGTAGCTTTGTTTATCGTATGCGTATCTTAGTGCTTGTCTGGAGGGTGATGCGTCGGGCGAGGACAGGATCTCGTTTTGACTTGACTTCATTTTGCTTGATTTTTGTGATTTTTTGTGATTTTATCGCTGTGGTAGTCTTGTTTATCGTACGCGTATCTTAGTGCTTGTCTGGGGGGTGATGCGTCGGGCGAGGACAGGATCTTGTTTTGACTTGACTTGATTTTGCTTGATTTTGCTGTTTTATTGCTGTTTTATTGCTTGACTTTGCTTGATTTTGTCTGTCTTGTTGCTGTCGTAGTCTTGCGTGTCGTCTTGCATTGCTTGTCTTGCGGTGACTCTAACCGAGACACCGAGACACCGAGAGAATACGTTTTTGGACGAGACAACGAGAAACCTAACTAAGCCTCTAACGGGCGGGGGGGTGGGGTCGAACCCTAAACTCTAACGTGGTGGTTGAACCTAACTGCGCGTATTCTCTCGTTATGCTTATTGAGCGTTTATCTTGTATCGTAGTATAGCGTGTCTTGTTCTTGGTCTGTCGGATTGTATTGTATCATGGTCTGTTGCGTCTCTTGACTTTGGTGCGTCGTCGTAGTCTTAGGTGTCGCATTTCTCATCCTTGACTTGGCTGACCCTCGTCCTCGTTTTGTGGATGCTTTCTTGATTTTTGACGGTCGTATTATATAGTTTCTTGTCCTTATCCTTGTCTTTTCATTGGGGGCGTTTTCTTGTTTGTTTTGACTGTCGTGGTCTACGCTTGGAGTCCTGAACCTGGTCCTTGACTTGGGAGGCGTTTTCTTGATTGTTTGGTGGTCTTTGCTTGCTTTGGTTATCTCCCTTGTCGTAGCCCTCGTCTGGTGGGCGTGATGCGTGGGTCGAGGTAGGAATTTCGTTTGTTGTTGACTTGATTTTGCTTGATTTTTGCTGTTTTGTTCCTTGACTTTTCTTGATTTATGGACTGTCTTTGATTTCCTGGTCTCGCTTATCTTACGCTTAGCATGGCGCTTGTCTGGGGTGATGCGTCGGACTAGGACGGAACCTCGCTTTCGCTTGACTTGATTTTGCTTGATTTTTGTCGTTTTATTGCTGGGCGTTGCTTGATTTCTGCTGTGATGTGGCTGCGGTAGTCTTGTCTTTGGAGTGATGCGTGGGCCTAGGACAGGATCTCGTTTCGACTTGACTGCGTTTTGCTTGATTTTTGTGATTTTTTGATGTTTTGGTAGTCTTGTCTTGTCTTGTCTTTGGAGTGATGCGTGGGCCTAGGACGGGATCTGGTTTCATTTTTGCTATTGTGTTGCTTGATTTTGCTTGATCTGAGGCGTAGGTTTGGGCGAAAACCTTGTCAGGAGTGGGCTTGACTTTGCTTGATTTTTGCTTGATTTTGCTTGATCTGAGGCGTAGGTTTAGGCGAAAACCTGGTTCAGACTTGGCTTGATCTTGCGTGATTTTTGCTATTTTTTGCTATTGTGCGGCTTGATTTTGCTTGATCTGAGGGGTAGGCTTAAGGCGAAAACCTGGTTCGGACTTGGCTTGATTTTGGTTATTTTTGGTATTTTTATTGGTATTTGTGTTGCTTGATTTTGCTTGATTCATTGCTGTGGTATTGCTTGTCTTGGTATCGTAGTCTCTTGCTGCGGTATTGCTTGAGTTGCTGTGGTATCGTAGCGTAGCGTATTGTAGTGTCTTGCTAAGCTATGGTACCGAGAACCGAGACACCGAGAGAATACGTTTTTATACTAACCGACGAGAGAGCTAACGGGCGGGTGGTGGTTTTCTAAGCTCTAATGGGTGGGGGGGTGGGGGGAATCTAACATATGATTGCCCTGCTTATCCTTATCCTTATCCTTGACTATCGTATTGTTATCGTACGGTATGGTATGGTGGTGTATCGCGTTGTTATCGTAAGTTATCGTATGGTGTGTTATCGTATGGTATCGTGACGTAGTCTATCGTATGGTATCGTGACGTAGTCTGTCGTATTGTTATCGTAAGTTATCGTGCGGTATGGTGTCGTAGTCTATCGCGTTTCTTATCCTTGTCTTGACTGTCGTATGGTATCGTAGTCCATCGTGTTTCTTGTCCTTGTCTTGACTATCGTATCGTATCCTATGGTATCGCGTTTCTTATCCTTGTCGTGGTCTTGACTATCGTGATCCTTATCTTTGACTTCCTTATCGTAGTCTTGACTATCGCGTTTCTTATCCTTGACTTGCTTATCGTATCGTAGTCTTGACTGTCGTAATCCTTATCCTTGTCTTTTGCTTGTTTTCTTGATTTTTTTGCTATCGTAGTCTTGACTATCGTATTCCTTATCCTCATCCTTATGGCCCAGGTCAAAACCTCGTTCAGACTTTGCTTGACTTTGCTTGATTTTTGCGTTTTTATCGGAGTAGTTCCCACGGTCGAGTTGCTTTCTTGAACCCTTCGATTTTGAGTATTTTGCTTGTAATTCACTAGGATCTTACCCTATTGATGTCGTTAGACTATGGATAGACTCCCCTTGACGAGGGCTACGACATTGATTTTTGCATTTTTTTCGGAGTAGTTCCCACGGTCAAGCTGCTTTCTTGAACCCTTCGATTTCGAGTATTTTGCTTATAGTTCACTAGGATATTATCCTATTGATGTCGTTAGACTATGGATAGACTCCCCTTGACGAGGGCTACAACATTGATTTTCAGGCACAGCAGGGACAGGGCACAGCCGCAGCAGGGACTCACGCAGCCGCAGCAGGGACTCGCGCAGCCGCAGCAGGGACAGGGACAGAGGCGACTGCAGGGGTGCAGTCTCAGGAAACATATAGATAAGAGCGCAGCAGGGACTAGTCTCTGGATTAGGGGAGTCCCTGCAGATAGGAGGTTGCGAATTTCGCATTTTTGCCATTTAGCGTACGTGTATGCTGTTGTCTTGGGGTGCGCTTTTTGGTGGTCTTGCTGTTGTGTTGCTGTGACTGATTTGTCTTGTCCTTGATTTGCGGTGGGTCTTTGATTTTGTAGCTTTGTTTATCGTATGCGTATCTTAGTGCTTGTCTGGAGGGTGATGCGTCGGGCGAGGACAGGATCCTCGTTTTGACTTGACTTCATTTTGCTTGATTTTTGTGATTTTTTGTGATTTTATCGCTGTGGTAGTCTTGTTTATCGTACGCGTATCTTAGTGCTTGTCTGGGGGGTGATGCGTCGGGCGAGGACAGGATCTTGTTTTGACTTGACTTGATTTTGCTTGATTTTGCTGTTTTATTGCTGTTTTATTGCTTGACTTTGCTTGATTTTGTCTGTCTTGTTGCTGTCGTAGTCTTGCGTGTCGTCTTGCATTGCTTGTCTTGCGGTGACTCTAACCGAGACACCGAGACACCGAGAGAATACGTTTTTGGACGAGACAACGAGAAACCTAACTAAGCCTCTAACGGGCGGGGGGGTGGGGTCGAACCCTAAACTCTAACGTGGTGGTTGAACCTAACTGCGCGTATTCTCTCGTTATGCTTATTGAGCGTTTATCTTGTATCGTAGTATAGCGTGTCTTGTTCTTGGTCTGTCGGATTGTATTGTATCATGGTCTGTTGCGTCTCTTGACTTTGGTGCGTCGTCGTAGTCTTAGGTGTCGCATTTCTCATCCTTGACTTGGCTGACCCTCGTCCTCGTTTTGTGGATGCTTTCTTGATTTTTGACGGTCGTATTATATAGTTTCTTGTCCTTATCCTTGTCTTTTCATTGGGGGCGTTTTCTTGTTTGTTTTGACTGTCGTGGTCTACGCTTGGAGTCCTGAACCTGGTCCTTGACTTGGGAGGCGTTTTCTTGATTGTTTGGTGGTCTTTGCTTGCTTTGGTTATCTCCCTTGTCGTAGCCCTCGTCTGGTGGGCGTGATGCGTGGGTCGAGGTAGGAATTTCGTTTGTTGTTGACTTGATTTTGCTTGATTTTTGCTGTTTTGTTCCTTGACTTTTCTTGATTTATGGACTGTCTTTGATTTCCTGGTCTCGCTTATCTTACGCTTAGCATGGCGCTTGTCTGGGGTGATGCGTCGGACTAGGACGGAACCTCGCTTTCGCTTGACTTGATTTTGCTTGATTTTTGTCGTTTTATTGCTGGGCGTTGCTTGATTTCTGCTGTGATGTGGCTGCGGTAGTCTTGTCTTTGGAGTGATGCGTGGGCCTAGGACAGGATCTCGTTTCGACTTGACTGCGTTTTGCTTGATTTTTGTGATTTTTTGATGTTTTGGTAGTCTTGTCTTGTCTTGTCTTTGGAGTGATGCGTGGGCCTAGGACGGGATCTGGTTTCATTTTTGCTATTGTGTTGCTTGATTTTGCTTGATCTGAGGCGTAGGTTTGGGCGAAAACCTTGTCAGGAGTGGGCTTGACTTTGCTTGATTTTTGCTTGATTTTGCTTGATCTGAGGCGTAGGTTTAGGCGAAAACCTGGTTCAGACTTGGCTTGATCTTGCGTGATTTTTGCTATTTTTTGCTATTGTGCGGCTTGATTTTGCTTGATCTGAGGGGTAGGCTTAAGGCGAAAACCTGGTTCGGACTTGGCTTGATTTTGGTTATTTTTGGTATTTTTATTGGTATTTGTGTTGCTTGATTTTGCTTGATTCATTGCTGTGGTATTGCTTGTCTTGGTATCGTAGTCTCTTGCTGCGGTATTGCTTGAGTTGCTGTGGTATCGTAGCGTAGCGTATTGTAGTGTCTTGCTAAGCTATGGTACCGAGAACCGAGACACCGAGAGAATACGTTTTTATACTAACCGACGAGAGAGCTAACGGGCGGGTGGTGGTTTTCTAAGCTCTAATGGGTGGGGGGGGTGGGGGGAATCTAACATATGATTGCCCTGCTTATCCTTATCCTTATCCTTGACTATCGTATTGTTATCGTACGGTATGGTATGGTGGTGTATCGCGTTGTTATCGTAAGTTATCGTATGGTGTGTTATCGTATGGTATCGTGACGTAGTCTATCGTATGGTATCGTGACGTAGTCTGTCGTATTGTTATCGTAAGTTATCGTGCGGTATGGTGTCGTAGTCTATCGCGTTTCTTATCCTTGTCTTGACTGTCGTATGGTATCGTAGTCCATCGTGTTTCTTGTCCTTGTCTTGACTATCGTATCGTATCCTATGGTATCGCGTTTCTTATCCTTGTCGTGGTCTTGACTATCGTGATCCTTATCTTTGACTTCCTTATCGTAGTCTTGACTATCGCGTTTCTTATCCTTGACTTGCTTATCGTATCGTAGTCTTGACTGTCGTAATCCTTATCCTTGTCTTTTGCTTGTTTTCTTGATTTTTTTGCTATCGTAGTCTTGACTATCGTATTCCTTATCCTCATCCTTATGGCCCAGGTCAAAACCTCGTTCAGACTTTGCTTGACTTTGCTTGATTTTTGCGTTTTTATCGGAGTAGTTCCCACGGTCGAGTTGCTTTCTTGAACCCTTCGATTTTGAGTATTTTGCTTGTAATTCACTAGGATCTTACCCTATTGATGTCGTTAGACTATGGATAGACTCCCCTTGACGAGGGCTACGACATTGATTTTTGCATTTTTTTCGGAGTAGTTCCCACGGTCAAGCTGCTTTCTTGAACCCTTCGATTTCGAGTATTTTGCTTATAGTTCACTAGGATATTATCCTATTGATGTCGTTAGACTATGGATAGACTCCCCTTGACGAGGGCTACAACATTGATTTTCAGGCACAGCAGGGACAGGGCACAGCCGCAGCAGGGACTCACGCAGCCGCAGCAGGGACTCGCGCAGCCGCAGCAGGGACAGGGACAGAGGCGACTGCAGGGGTGCAGTCTCAGGAAACATATAGATAAGAGCGCAGCAGGGACTAGTCTCTGGATTAGGGGAGTCCCTGCAGATAGGAGGTTGCGAATTTCGCATTTTTGCCATTTAGCGTACGTGTATGCTGTTGTCTTGGGGTGCGCTTTTTGGTGGTCTTGCTGTTGTGTTGCTGTGACTGATTTGTCTTGTCCTTGATTTGCGGTGGGTCTTTGATTTTGTAGCTTTGTTTATCGTATGCGTATCTTAGTGCTTGTCTGGAGGGTGATGCGTCGGGCGAGGACAGGATCTCGTTTTGACTTGACTTCATTTTGCTTGATTTTTGTGATTTTTTGTGATTTTATCGCTGTGGTAGTCTTGTTTATCGTACGCGTATCTTAGTGCTTGTCTGGGGGGTGATGCGTCGGGCGAGGACAGGATCTTGTTTTGACTTGACTTGATTTTGCTTGATTTTGCTGTTTTATTGCTGTTTTATTGCTTGACTTTGCTTGATTTTGTCTGTCTTGTTGCTGTCGTAGTCTTGCGTGTCGTCTTGCATTGCTTGTCTTGCGGTGACTCTAACCGAGACACCGAGACACCGAGAGAATACGTTTTTGGACGAGACAACGAGAAACCTAACTAAGCCTCTAACGGGCGGGGGGGTGGGGTCGAACCCTAAACTCTAACGTGGTGGTTGAACCTAACTGCGCGTATTCTCTCGTTATGCTTATTGAGCGTTTATCTTGTATCGTAGTATAGCGTGTCTTGTTCTTGGTCTGTCGGATTGTATTGTATCATGGTCTGTTGCGTCTCTTGACTTTGGTGCGTCGTCGTAGTCTTAGGTGTCGCATTTCTCATCCTTGACTTGGCTGACCCTCGTCCTCGTTTTGTGGATGCTTTCTTGATTTTTGACGGTCGTATTATATAGTTTCTTGTCCTTATCCTTGTCTTTTCATTGGGGGCGTTTTCTTGTTTGTTTTGACTGTCGTGGTCTACGCTTGGAGTCCTGAACCTGGTCCTTGACTTGGGAGGCGTTTTCTTGATTGTTTGGTGGTCTTTGCTTGCTTTGGTTATCTCCCTTGTCGTAGCCCTCGTCTGGTGGGCGTGATGCGTGGGTCGAGGTAGGAATTTCGTTTGTTGTTGACTTGATTTTGCTTGATTTTTGCTGTTTTGTTCCTTGACTTTTCTTGATTTATGGACTGTCTTTGATTTCCTGGTCTCGCTTATCTTACGCTTAGCATGGCGCTTGTCTGGGGTGATGCGTCGGACTAGGACGGAACCTCGCTTTCGCTTGACTTGATTTTGCTTGATTTTTGTCGTTTTATTGCTGGGCGTTGCTTGATTTCTGCTGTGATGTGGCTGCGGTAGTCTTGTCTTTGGAGTGATGCGTGGGCCTAGGACAGGATCTCGTTTCGACTTGACTGCGTTTTGCTTGATTTTTGTGATTTTTTGATGTTTTGGTAGTCTTGTCTTGTCTTGTCTTTGGAGTGATGCGTGGGCCTAGGACGGGATCTGGTTTCATTTTTGCTATTGTGTTGCTTGATTTTGCTTGATCTGAGGCGTAGGTTTGGGCGAAAACCTTGTCAGGAGTGGGCTTGACTTTGCTTGATTTTTGCTTGATTTTGCTTGATCTGAGGCGTAGGTTTAGGCGAAAACCTGGTTCAGACTTGGCTTGATCTTGCGTGATTTTTGCTATTTTTTGCTATTGTGCGGCTTGATTTTGCTTGATCTGAGGGGTAGGCTTAAGGCGAAAACCTGGTTCGGACTTGGCTTGATTTGGTTATTTTTGGTATTTTTATTGGTATTTGTGTTGCTTGATTTTGCTTGATTCATTGCTGTGGTATTGCTTGTCTTGGTATCGTAGTCTCTTGCTGCGGTATTGCTTGAGTTGCTGTGGTATCGTAGCGTAGCGTATTGTAGTGTCTTGCTAAGCTATGGTACCGAGAACCGAGACACCGAGAGAATACGTTTTTATACTAACCGACGAGAGAGCTAACGGGCGGGTGGTGGTTTTCTAAGCTCTAATGGGTGGGGGGGGTGGGGGGAATCTAACATATGATTGCCCTGCTTATCCTTATCCTTATCCTTGACTATCGTATTGTTATCGTACGGTATGGTATGGTGGTGTATCGCGTTGTTATCGTAAGTTATCGTATGGTGTGTTATCGTATGGTATCGTGACGTAGTCTATCGTATGGTATCGTGACGTAGTCTGTCGTATTGTTATCGTAAGTTATCGTGCGGTATGGTGTCGTAGTCTATCGCGTTTCTTATCCTTGTCTTGACTGTCGTATGGTATCGTAGTCCATCGTGTTTCTTGTCCTTGTCTTGACTATCGTATCGTATCCTATGGTATCGCGTTTCTTATCCTTGTCGTGGTCTTGACTATCGTGATCCTTATCTTTGACTTCCTTATCGTAGTCTTGACTATCGCGTTTCTTATCCTTGACTTGCTTATCGTATCGTAGTCTTGACTGTCGTAATCCTTATCCTTGTCTTTTGCTTGTTTTCTTGATTTTTTTGCTATCGTAGTCTTGACTATCGTATTCCTTATCCTCATCCTTATGGCCCAGGTCAAAACCTCGTTCAGACTTTGCTTGACTTTGCTTGATTTTTGCGTTTTTATCGGAGTAGTTCCCACGGTCGAGTTGCTTTCTTGAACCCTTCGATTTTGAGTATTTTGCTTGTAATTCACTAGGATCTTACCCTATTGATGTCGTTAGACTATGGATAGACTCCCCTTGACGAGGGCTACGACATTGATTTTTGCATTTTTTTCGGAGTAGTTCCCACGGTCAAGCTGCTTTCTTGAACCCTTCGATTTCGAGTATTTTGCTTATAGTTCACTAGGATATTATCCTATTGATGTCGTTAGACTATGGATAGACTCCCCTTGACGAGGGCTACAACATTGATTTTCAGGCACAGCAGGGACAGGGCACAGCCGCAGCAGGGACTCACGCAGCCGCAGCAGGGACTCGCGCAGCCGCAGCAGGGACAGGGACAGAGGCGACTGCAGGGGTGCAGTCTCAGGAAACATATAGATAGAAGTACCCTCCATGATATGTACCAGCCCATGAAAGAAATTTTTTCACAAGTTTGAAACCTATTTCTGAAATGACCATATAAGTAGCTGGCATTGACCTTGAGATCGCACAGAGCTCGAGTTGGAAAGACTACTGGCAGTATTATTCACGCTGGCCGTGGACATTCGACGGCTGATAGTAAAGACGTTTGCTGTTGAAATGCGAGATTCAGCGGTAGTGAGGATGTCGACGATTGGGTGCACTCATGATTTGAAGTGCTCTCACTCGCTAAACTGACGAATAGCGCGAATATAGTTGTGTAAGGGTCAGTTTTGACTGCAACACCACTATGTACCGAGCACATACCATCTGAAACACTTGGGCGCTGCCTTGGCTTGAGCAGCTGTCCATATTGCAGAGGTTGACCAGGATCTTGTCAACGAGTACAACATTGCAAAATTCGATTTTCCATATCTCATGGATCGAGCACAGCATCTCAAGGCAAATAAGTTCCCTTTTCTTGGTCGCATGAATGGTGCGCATTTCTGTTTGCTGTGATAAGATCATACTGATGTTGTGTTAAAGGTTCCAAAACTGAGACGAAGGAGACGCATTTCTCTTCGAAGGCATACGAGCAGCGTGATTCCAAAGATACAGAGCTAGAAGATCGGCTACAACTCGACGTCCTGCAATTTATGCAACGTGAACACAAGTTACGTAGTTATACCTTCAACACTGTCTGTGCACAGTTCCTTGGTGAGCCACAGGAGAATATGAACCCACTCCGTTATCACAGAATTGCAACATGGTACCCCAGAGTCCAGACGTCGGCTGGCCGTCTGCTGTTTAAAGGTGATCAAGTCCTTTTTGCGTCGTCTTTGTCGTTCTTATAGTTGCTACAGGATGTATATCTCCCTCAGTGACTGCGGGACAAACTTATGTGCTTCATCAACTACACTGAAATGACACATGTCACGGGCATTCCCTTCAACTACCTCCTTTCCAATGGCCAGTCCATTAAGGTGCTTTCCCAGCTATTTCACGAGGCTAATCAAGAGAGATATATCATCCCTGCTTTGAAGGGCGAGGGTTCTGATGAGCAATACGAAGGTGCCACTGTCATCGAGCCGAGGAAAGGCTACCACGACACACCAATTGCAACTCTTGATATGAGCTATTTGTATCCGTCCATCACGATGGTACATAATTTGTGTTATACGACGCTCATCGAAATGAATACCATTGATCGCATGCAGCTTGTCAAGGACGTTGAATATATCCAAACCCCCAATAACGGTATGTTAGAGCTGTTGGATATGTAGTTTGCAGATCAGTCGGCTAATGCTTCTGGTTAGAATTTTTCGCTACTACGGCAAAACGAAATGGTCTACGACCTACTTTCTTGGAAGATTTGATCTCTGCTGGTACGCGTGCGAAGGCAGATCTCAAGAAGGTGACCGATCCATCCAAGCGTGCAGTCTTGGACGGTCGTCAGCTTGCTCTGAAGGTGCTTTGCATTCAGCTGGTACGGCGACCCTATCTGACCTCATTCAATTGCAGACCAGTGCCAACTCTCCTTATGAGTTCACTGGTGCGACGATTGGAACATTACCCTGCCTTCCTATCTCCTGCAGTGTGGCAGCATATTGGCGTCAGATGATCGCGAAAACTAAGTAGGTAAGTCGTAGTCTGTCCGCCAGTGAACACCCGACCAATAACCATTTGTAGGACGTTGAAGCATAATTCTCCATTTATAATGGACACGCTGATAATGCTGAAGTAATTTATGGTGATACTGACTCTGTCATGGTCAGGTTTGGGCCTGCAGAACTGGAAAGGATCATGACTCTCTGCTCGTACCAACCAGCAATCTACAGGAGCGGAGGCGGCAGATTTTGCGACGGCGAAATCTGTCAGACCTATTGAGCTCGAATTCGAGAAATTTTATTACCCGTATCTTCTCATCAGCAAGAAGCGGTACGCTGGACGTTGCTGGACAAGCCAGACGAATGGGCAAGATGAACTCAAAGAGGATCGAAGTTTGTCTTCATCTTCAATAGTTTACCGTGGATATACTGAATTAAGGAATCTAGACGGTCCGGAGAGACAACTGTCAGCAAGTATCTACGGTAATCGAGACGTCAGAGGAGCTGAGGAGTAAGTACACACTTTTGCTCGTTTGGTTGCTGAACCAGCCATCCCAGGTACACAAAGCGCATCATATCAGATGGTCTGCAAAATAAGGTCGATATGTCCCAACTGGTGATTGCAAAGGCTCCGGCCATAGCTGGTATGTGAATTTTGAACGAGAATGGGCTGGCATTCTAATGTCCGCAGATTATGCTGCGAAGCAAGCGCATGTGGAGTTGGCAGAGCGCATGCGGCAACGTGACGCAGGTTTGTGACTGATGTGGTTACCTGGTTATGTCCTGATATCCATGGTCAGGTTCCGCACCGGCCTTGCGTGGCCGTGTCACCTACGTTATTGTCAAGGGCATTGAAGGTCACATTCCGCGTCAAGTATCATGGCTCTATGCTGACTTGTGGAAGAATAGGTGCTGCTGCATACGAAAAATCCGAGGATGCCCTTTATGTTTTGGAGAATAGCATTCCCATCGATACTAAATATTATCTCGAAACGCAGTTCTCAGATCCTCTTGTGAGAATTTTGAACCAATCCTGGGTTAGAAGGCAGCATCGTTGTGTATGTTGCTTCATTCGCTGTGAATGTCGTCTGTTGATATGTTCCCCAGTATCTGGCGCGCACACCAGGTCAATCCAGATCGCAACTCCAACAGTTGGCGGTCTGATGAAGTTCACAGCGAAGACGGTAACATGCCTTGGGTGCAAACCTCCGTTACTGTCGAATAGCAATGTAAAACGTAAGCCCAAACAAGCAAACGTCTGGCCCTATCTCACTGCCGCCACTGCTGCAGATGGTGCCGTGTGCAATAACTGTCAACCAACGATCGGGGAGCGATATCAAAGCAAATCATAAGCGCGTCGCAGCTGCAAGTGCGGTTCTCGCGACAGTGGACGCAATGCCAACATTTTCAGCGCTCTTTGTATCAAGTGTGGTTATATCTGTGTTGCTTCGACTGTCATTGACACTGTGGTCGATAGGATGTGCAATATTCGAGCAAGGACTGCCCGATATTCTACATGCGGAAGAAGGCACAAAAGGATGTGGAAGATGCGAATTCTGTCCTCGAGCGGTTTGATGCAGATCTGTGGTAATTTATATCGATGTATCGTTATTTTCATTTCGCTTGGTTTTTCTCCACTGTTATATCACTGATCATCCTGGCAATATATATTCCTGAAGTGTGGTCTAGCCTAGTATCTAAAGTGATTGCAGGTACTGCGTCAAACGTCTGAGCCTCGACAGCTGGGAGCTCAATGAAACTGACACGGACGGTCAACGGGGGTAAGGGTCTTCATTGAAACAGCTGTGCGCGAGCACCAGCATCTTCCTTCCTCGCCACCCCACTTTTCCTCTCGGCTACCTGTTGGTAAACACCTGATGCATAGTGCCTGCGAGATAGGGACGCGGACAGGTGTGCACCAGCTTTGGCAGTGCGCATTGAATTTACACAGACCTCTGGTTAGACGACCGTAATGCTCGATCGTTCCTCAAGTGAGTTACTCTCACGCCGTCGACTGACGAATAGCTGGAAGATAGTTGTGCAAGGGTAAGTCTTGACTGCAACACCACTGTGTACCGAGCACATACCATCTGCAATACTTGGGCGCTGCCTTGGTTTGAGAAGTTGTTTTTCCCATGTAAGACGTCCGGCACCCGTCCTACAGGGATGATTGTTGGTTCCCCTTGGTCACACACGGCCTCGTTTAAGAACCTCAAAGATGGGAGTGCGTGAGAGCGAGAAAAGGCGATACTGGGCATTGGCACAAACCTCGCGAATGGGTCCCTGTCACTGAATACGACAGCCGGCAGGTGAAGAAGAAGAGCACGAAGACCACAAAACCGTCTGTCTGGGCAGCTCCGGTAAGTTATGTTTTAAACATCCACCAGGACTTAACAAGCATACCCGTACGGTGTGACCACCGAGCTTGTCGATGATCTCCTGCAAGCGAGCGACCATCTACCACAGCTCTATTGTGGATTGGTTTGAAGTTTTATCTGGACATTGGAAACGCAGCGCAGGCAAGTCATTTCCATCTCATCATCACATCAATCAGAGGTGATGACGGACAGAGAAACGAACTCGATACATATCTTGTACGTCGTTGTTTGACCGTCTTCATCCTCTGATATATGAGTCCTAAAGGATTTGCTAGCTTCCAACGAGGAAATGTCGTCGTCTGCACGACGGTTGGTTGTAAAATACGATATAATGGATTGAGACTGTCCAAGGGGAAGTACGGTTCAGCAATGTAGTGAGTAAGGATTCGAATATTAAAATGCAACTCAAGATCATGTGTCAATGTGTAACCGCGATGTAGAACAAACGAACGAATCTGATCATGTCGTGATGAATCATGTGGCCTATCTGTACTGTAAAATGAAGCTAAACTTGAGATAATCGTGTCGATGAAGGAGATGTTACACATTGGGGTGATCAATGACCTGAATGATACGATCTTTCAGTTCTTCGATGCATATTTGTCTCTCTACGGCGTCTCCATGTGCGTACTCCAAGATCGCTTTGATGTTCTCCTTCTGCTTCACCGTCTCCACCTCCAGCCGATCTACGTCTTCGCTCGTGACGTCAAGTAGTGCTTTCTGGTACATCACCTCTTCTTCCAAGGTATCAATGCGGTCACGGTACCTTTCTACCTCTTCTTCGTGCCGAATACGCGTTCGTTCACGTTCCTCCTGCAGGTATTCGACTTGATGATCCACGCGTTCCAGCATCTCCAAGAGTTCACGCGCGTACTGAGCCGTACATGAATTCGGGCTTGGGGATCTTAGCTGAGCAACGTCTTGGTCCTGTGTATCCCGAACGTCATATTGAATTGTCAGCAAAGGAATGCAATCGGGACATACATTGTAACTCGGTATCTTCATGTTCAGATGAGATTGAATGCGTTTGATTTTCTCCGTCGGTGATGAAACGTCTTCTTGAGTACTACGCTTATTTGTATAATCAGACATAGCGAATGATGTTAAAGAAATATGCAAGTAGATCTTGAATAAAGAACGATGGTATGGCAGGTAGACGAATGAACGATCACAGTTCAAAGTACAGTATTTGTCAGCAACCTCGTCAGACGATTAGCCGACCGTGTAAGTCTTCATAACCCATGGTTATCTGGTAATTATGCGCAGAGTTTCACGGAGTTCGATGGGTGGTCTTGGCTGCTGGAAGATGAGAGGGTGCATCGACATATGAGAGCGTTTTAGAGAGATGTGATGGTGCTCTCAGAGGGACGCGTTTGGTGTACCATGAGTGCTGCAGGTGTGAGGAGACGTGGTGGATGACGTTGTCACAACAAGAATGGTGATATGTGACAAGTGGAAACTGTCCTTGTGAGCGTTGTGCACCACGAAAGATATGAGAAATGGCCGAAGACTCTAAAGATGTATACAACAGTTATCCAAGACCCATGAGTTGACCGTTGCTCACAATTGTCGTTCATGAAACTATTGGTGCATGGTGCGTGCACTTGACGACGCGACGCGGCTTAGTGAAATCTGGAGCTCAGGAATACAAACCACGGACACTTGTATAGTTGATTTTAGTCGATTTTCTTCGTTGTCTATGACTGATGGGTAGTACGTCTCGTTCGTTTTGTCACTGATACTACTACAGTTGCGTACGCAGCCGATTATCAACGTTGACATGGCGGGTACGAGTCAGCTACAATGAGTAGCCTAGCTTACGGACGACATCGTCCATCATTTGCCATTTGCAATTCGAATCCTTCATCCATGACGGCCTTGACTCTGCCAGGTAGATCCACCGCTTTGAATCGCCATCCCAGGTCGAATATGAAGTCATCGATCTGAATGGCGACATTACACCAACGCGTACCAGGATATTCCAAACGTACGCGAAAATAAGAGAGCAGCAAGAAAGACCTCAAGTGCGTCAACAACATCGATATGCCTGCATGCTTGTAAAGGCACTGAACACGGGAAAGTCCTATCGCACCACGGCAGAGCGACGGCAAGGAGATGCAGGTGCGGAAGCGTGGAACAGTCGTGTAAAGAGAACTGATGTATCGTGCGACTGTCGACGACAGCCTTGCACCTATGAAGGCGCTGAACACAAAAATCACATATCACAACCATGCCAGAGCGACGGCTCAGAACCCCCGTAAGGAGCGACGGCAAGGAGATGAAGGTTTGGAAGCGTGGAAGAGTCATGTAAAGAGAACTGACGCATCGTGCGACTGTCGACGACAGCCTTGCACCTATGAAGGCGCTGAACACGGAAGTCACACATCACACACCAGCCAGAGCGACGGCTCAGAACCCCCGTAAGGAGCGACGGCAAGGAGATGAAGGTTCGGAAGCGTGTAAGAGTCGTGTAAAGAGAACTGACGCATCGTGCGACTGTCGACGACAGCCTTGCACCTATGAAGGCGCTGAACACGGAAGTCACACATCACACACCATGCCAGAGCGACGGCTCAGAACCCCCGTAAGGAGCGACGGCAAGGAGATGAAGGTTTGGAAGCGTGGAAGAGTCATGTAAAGAGAACTGACGCATCGTGCGACTGTCGACGACAGCCTTGCACCTATGAAGGCGCTGAACACAAAAGTCGCGTCTCAGACAATGCCGGAGCAACAGCTCTAAACCCCGAAAGGAGCTACGACACCGCAAGAGATTGAAACAAGTCATAACAATGTGATAAGTATAAGGTAGAGAAGATGAAGAGCGGAAGTTGAAATTGAACAACCTTTTTAAAATCAACCAATCACGTGATATTCCCACGCCACACACACCACGGGCGAGACAGCATGTTCTTGTTTAACTTTAAGTCGTTAATTGAATGGGTCAAATCGACTGTAGCAATTTCTTATGTAATACATAGGTGAGGCTGGCTTGGTCACGCAGTACTTGCACTGTCATTCGACCTGCAATGCAAAATGTTTCCTTTGTTGTTAGCTCCATCATCCATCCACATCGGCATGGGCTCGGACGGACCTGATTAACTTTTCAATGCGCATCGTTCTGTGTATGGTGAACTACCGCAACAATCTCACTGAGCCCTGTCTTGTGTGCATCATCCATCACAATGGATATTCCGTCGCAGTGTCTGCATCTTAGGACGTTGTGAGACTTGCGCGGTGACCTTGGTGTGCGACTTTCGCTGATCCATGGAATTTTGCTACTGGTTGATCTTTTAGCTTCAGCAACCGTACAAGCGTTTATCATCCAAGCGTTTCACTGCCATCGGACAACATGAATGGGGGAAAACACCGGCAAACATTATCTTTTCACCATATCCTCACTGACAGTCCACAACTCCCCATATTCTCACTTCCGTCTTGAATTATCGATTAGTCCATTCACTCAGCCCATCCCAAATACTTGTCATTGTAGTTCATCACACCATCATGCCAGGTAATGTTGAAGGCCGACATATCAAACTCGAAAGTGAGTCGCTACATACTACCTTCGTATGTTTTTTGCATCCTCACTGTCTATCTACAGGGATGGACAGGGTTAGTTAGCCTCCTGGCGCATTCCCGCTGGCATATATATATATATGTCTCACAGCGAGCGCGAGCGTTCCTGGAAGCTTGTCCCTGTAACGGCCAACAGAACTACAATTGCTGGCGACGCAGCATCAAACCTGCCTGACGTGGAATGCAGGATCACAAGCAGCCTTACAATTCTCGTCTTGCCATGAAAGGTGGAACATCACGCGGTTTGCTATTCTGTTCCTCACACCGAGTTCGCGTTCATATTCGTGGTTTATACCACCAACAGCGATGAGGAGATGCCAGGATATTCCTGAATTCTGCCACCATAGTAAACATGGAACGACACTGATATACTTCATATTATGTCTTGGGCCAACTCAGTGACTCATCATGCGCTCGGTGGGTCCTGGGGTGAAATCTCAAAACGAACCCATCGCCAAGGGCTTTTCCATCTGATTGAGCCGTACACGTTTGACAGTGAACAATAGGGAGAATCATGATTACCCTCACGTCGTGTGTGGGATGAGACTCCACTTATCAGAAGTATGGAAGACGAAATCAAACTAGTGCTCGCAATTGTGCCAGTGATGGCGTGACAAGAGGTCGAAGACCTGGAGCAGCGAACAGTTGTTTTTGTCGGACGAGAATATGAGTCGAAAACCCACGCTTTCTGAGATTTTCACCGGATGGATTCCAACTGAACACCTGAAAATAAGAATATATATCGTTTTCGGTTGACATCACACATCCTGAGCTCGCACCGAATCAAATCGTTAGTGACAAGATAGTTCAAGAACATATGTTGCGGCGGATGGCAACACAAGACAAACGGCCCCCTGGTGTAGTGTCATAGCGGCATTGGGCGTCTCGCCATCACACAACCAGAAGCTCATGGTTGTCTGATCGCAACTTTCCAACTGGACATAGGAATATGTGTACTTCAGTGGTGTTGGTTAGCACTTGCGTGACTGAGGACCGCAAAATGCACGAACCTGTGAGATCAATGCAGATACTAAGAGCACGTCTCCACACGTTCGAATACTCCTTTCTGTACTCTTCTTCACTTACATCCGGATCCCAATCTCATTCTAATATTCCGCAAAAAATAGATTTGACCTCATTCCGTCTTGCTTGATATCCAGATGCCGAGAAACCAAGCGCTCGGAAAGTCGAGGAATACTGTTGGCGACACGTCAGAAGTGCGCCATCGACGACGATAACAACAGTGTGCCACTCAATTCATAGTCAAGAATGCCTTGTCTAGTAACTCCAATCGTCGAGCGAAAACCGCTGCAGCGCATACAACATGACCCGTAATCACCAAAGATATGTAGTATCTGCATGAGTTGACATTGATGGCCGCATGGATGTCTGTGTATGTCGTGGAACGTTGGAAATTTGTTGTGCTAACTAATAAAGAGTTTCATATTTGTCGGTGGAGTCGGGAACTGGTGCGCCTGTGGTGTTACGATCATGTAAGCAGTAAGGACAACGATGCTGAGACGGAGTTGTAATTTAAATCCAGTCAGTGGATAAATGGAGACTGGAACAAAGAATGACGTGTGACAGACATAGTAAATTGTGGTGCTTGACGCGCGCATAAATTCACACGATCCCTTCAACCACTATAGTTATGTCATGAACGCGAAGAATTACTCCACAGAGAAACCCATTGTTCTTGTGGTAGATCGGTCATGGCCACAAGATGTGATAGACGACATTTTGAATCTACGATGTTCATTGCAGATGATCAGGAAAACCTTGTGTTTGTCGATTGATGAGGAAGCGGTATGTGATCCTGCGCACTATTGGTTATATTTTTCACAGAGATATCTACACATAGATAGCGGTGCCAAGTCAATGCCACGATGCATTGCACCTCCTACTTCATCATCTCAAAGTCTATCAGCTGACCGCCACGAGACTCCTTGAACGCAAAAACACGATCCCACAACTCCAGACCTACGTTGCCGTCACATATTACTACTGTGAGGTTCTGCTAGCGTTCGTGCAAGAAGTGAAGGTCGACGACCCCGTTTCAAACAAGACATGGCGTTCAGCTCACCTCGACTATCACTTTGCATTGGCGCTAGAGAACAGTGCATTCAACGTGATTATGCAAAAAACGGCGCTAGCAAAGATAAAACGATCATGGGGTGACTTCAAGGAGAAAAAAGTGTATGAGCCAGTCCAGCAGCGTGCGTACTCTCCAGATAATTGAACACCTCACCTCATCTAAACTTCCTTGCGAAAGTCGATATCGCGAAGTACCACAATTTAATGTGCAATGACAAGAACATGTGCGGCAATATATCCGCCACTCACCGTATGTCAGTCGAAGAAATGATCTCCGAAATACTGCCGACTTCCACGAGCCGCACACCCACTGTGGTCGAAGGAGATACGGCCGAGACCGACGTTCGGCAAAATCGTGTCACTGCAAAACCTCAGAAGACCAACAAGCGCACGAGTGTTCGGAATGTGAAAACTAGCGTTGCATCACTAGAGTTCGCAACATGCTCAACCACAACATCTCATGTAGAGGACGACAACATCGAGGAGACTGCGAATATTGTCGAGATGAAGGATAATTCACCGAATAAACGGAAGAGTTTCAAGAGAGGCCGTCAATCAAAGGTACGTGTCAGAAACCACATGAGCGCACAAACAACACTGACATCGTTGGTGGATCAGGAACCTGATGGACGGGATCTGCAAGATTCCACAGCTGAGGTATGCGACCACCAACATCGATCGCACACACAATCATAATCATCGTGTGCAACAGAGTAAGGGCCATGCGAACCGTCCTGGCAGGAAGGTGACTGCTAAGGGAAAAGGGAAAGTATATATCGATCTCGAGTCTGAGGATGAGGGCGAGACGGCCGCGCAAGCAGATTCTTCATCACAGGACGTGCGAGCACCGACCCGGGCTTCTAAGACTTCAGACAGAAAGGGAAAAATGAAAGCCATTGTTGAGTCAGATGATGAGGTATGTGTGTGCATGTGAAACCCAAAATGCTACCGCTGACAGTATTGTCCATGACGAGGTCACACAGGCCACAGCAGAAGTCTCAGTTCGAGCACCATCAGAGGGAGAGTTAGACATTATGACTCCCATGGTACGCATACCGCAATATCAACATAATTGATGACCACTCATGTCTCGTATCATACTCCGTCGTCCACACAGCAGTCAGATCAGTCTATGCTAGAAGTTAAGAGGGTGGGCCCGTCCTTAAGTACATCTCAGATATAGTATAACATCATCCAGGACGACATCGGCGAAGATGTCAGTTGCTACCCTGATCACGACCTCCCATCCACCCTTGAGGATTGGGAGAACTGGAACCGGATAGCGTTGCGGAAAGGACACTCACACATTTTCCTGAAGCTTGGAACATGGATTCTGCTTCGATTCAGACAGTTGGCTAAGATTCCAATCGACGATGATGTTGATGGACTTCTCATTCCAGACCATCCTGCAAATTATGAGATGCAGGACGACGCTGATTTTCACGAGGCCCTAGGAATGACACGTCTGTATTCCGCGATCGCGCACATCGACACACATCCTCAGTACCTAGCGCATATATTCCATGAGCTTGGAAAGGCGTCGAATGAGGAACGACTTGCAAGTAGTCATCCTCGATTTAGGCCTCTCCCAGAACTACCGACACCTGTAAAAAGGTATGTAACGTTCTCGACATATCGCATCACTAAATCGGAATTTAGCATGATGTTCAGCCACGACTCGCCGTTTTTAGACGGGTGGCCCTTCGAGGATGCAGATGTTGACGGTTATGGTGACAACGATGATGGAGGTGTAGCGGGGGCCCTTAATGAGATGATTATCTCAAGTGAACAAAACCCAGCGCCATTGGTCACACCAGATGAGCAAGATCCACAGAAGCGCAAGAGGACGATGTCGAGCACGACTTCTCCACCAAAGGTAAAGTCCATGCGCTTACATTACCGCCCGGGATGATCTGACGTTCAGCTAACAGAAGGACGGCGGACGGGGGTTTTCAAAGCGGGTAAAGGGAAAACCAGAACAGCTGTTTATCCGTCCGTCAGCACCGTCTGCGACACCCATCGCGGAAGTTGCAATGGCCAGTTCAACGGACATCGGTACTGCAATGAATGAACTGTCTCCAATCGTCAACGTTGACGCTCCATCATCAATATCATCCAACTCTCACCCCACTGCCTCCCGTGACATGGACGCAGTCTCGAACTCGACTCCTCTGCCACAGGTGACAGAGGACGTGCCAGACCACGATCGTATGAACGAGCAGAGTGACATCAACTCACGGAGTCTCAGTCAGAAGGTCAACGACATTCACGTATCGTCAGCCTCGCAGGTCAATGATGCTGCATTGCATATTGCAGATCCTGCGAAAGACGGATCTGTGTCTGACATTGAGGTTTCGGACGGTTTGTGTAGTGACGAATCAGGTCATTCTCGCACAAGTGCTCACATGGACAGTTAGATATATCAGAATAACGTATGACGACTTGACTAGCAGTGATGTATGAGCATGTGAGGCACTCGTCGGTCACTCACGTAGTTGATCTTCTCGCGTTGATATTCACTTCATACATGCAGCTTGATTCACTTACCAGTCAATCCATCGCGCCGAATCATATGACGTTCATCTTATATACATGCATGAACGTCCATTCTCGCATTCTAGAACTACTTGTTAGACATTTGCAATTCATGACGCGGGAGGGAAGATATCGTTGGGTGTCTGATGTTGTAGAGGTGCGGTCGGTCCTCGTGCCCTATAGATCATAAACTCACGTGACGATTCAACTACAAATCGGCTGAACAATACACCATCCGAGACAGTCCACAACAGCAATACGAATATAGGTATCGGACGATTCATAAACGAATCCAGGTAACGATTGAAGATCAAACAATGTTGCCATCAAGTACTGATAGTTTTTGCCACCATCAGGCATGACAGCGCCGAGGAATTATGACTTGACTGTCGGACTGTTGGGGAAAGAAGTACCCTCGAATAGTCCTATTATCCAGTGGAAAGATGGCCATAGGACCATTCTCCCAGCCGTGTACGACGACGACAAGAACAATCTTTGTGATGCTGTAGACATCCAGATCATCAAGTATCTTGCTCACTCTCCTGTATCCGCACCTGATTCACAATATGTGACACATCTATCACACAACGACATAACCGAAAATGATATCCAGGATATAGTTGGCGATTCACTGAGTCAAAATAAACCAGTTGTTATCAGAGGAATAGGATACAATCCAGTGGGCGAAGCGTTGACGGCAGAGTATCTGGACAAATACTACGCCATTTCACCCAATAGGATTGTTTGGATTCACGGTAGCGTTGTATCGTCTGCGGCAATCAGGGAATGCGCTAATTGAAAAATCAGACGTCAGGGCGCGTGCTATGGATCATACAAAGGTCACTACGGCAGGCGTCCTCAAAGCGTTCTTCGAAGACATGAAAAATCCAGAGAAGATACAATGCGTGTTGGACATTCCACTCGCGCAGGCAGCGCTACCAGAGACCTTACGGTACGTTTTCTACCTTCCGAGATATCTCCAACATGACAAAGACTCATGGCAGAAATCTCGATCATGGGTTAGCACATGGGTGGAACCAAACGACATATGACGTCCCCATATCATCGAATATACATCCAGAAAACTTCACAGTGAAGGGGTGGGCTCTGCTCCACCATGCTGGATTTTTGACGTATCCTCATCACGACGCCGAAGGGAGCCTCACATGGGTCAGAATAGAAGTAGGGGTTAAGTTTTGGGTTGTATTCCGACCAAAGGATCGGCAAAACGATCGCAAGCATCTTCAAGATTTCGCACTCAGGCTAGGAAACTTCACCGAAAATGAAGCTTGGATACGAGCTAATTGCGATGCAGAGGTTATCACACTCCTACCTGGAGACATTTTGTGCGTTATATGTGTTGATGGAACACATTCGCTGACATATATGTTCTTGTAGAATAATCCCCCCCAGGGCAGGTGCATGCCGTTTATACCCCACTTGCCTCTTTCGCAACAGGGGGTCACTTCTATCACTACGGATGCATGCATCTCACAGAGATATCTAGATACCTTGACGTTGTTGTAGGTGACTGCTTAACCAACCAGGACCTGCACAATGCTCTGGAGACACTTCGACGCATGATGATTGCCATACCGCGCCTGTCGCCTCGAATACGTAAGGCTATCTCGTCATAGTTAGGATCGAAATGTCCCTAACATTGTATGCACAGCACTGTTCAGGAGATCATTACTCGCCCTGTGCATAATGGTTACTCAGGGGAAGGAATATCGTGCAAAGGGTGGATCGGCGTCCTCTATCGTGGATACAGAAACGGCTGCAATCAGCATTGAGATAGCACGAGCGATTTCAACACATCTCGGAGTGACGATACGCAAGTCTACACCCATGTTACTATACCAAGGTGACCAGTTTGCCAAGGGGGAGCTCGTGTTCAAGAAAGGACTAGAGAAGGTGCTGATACCATTTACTGCACTGTAGGACGCATTGATGTCGTACCTTACAACTATTTGTATTGTCCGTACATAACTTACACCTTTTGACTAAGCCATCCATTGTAAAATAGTTCCTAGTTAATATGTGACTCGCAATGGCTCGCTGCCTTATCAGTCTGCAATTCTTACATCGTCCGTACCCACACTTGCATTGCATGCTTATGCTATAATCAGATCACTGCGATCGTGTCACATTTTGTTAATTTTGAATTGCTGAGGCAGGGAACAATTTCACACGGTAACTTCTGCCCGCATTGTTTGCTTCATCATGGATCCCTCGAAATACACTACTGTAAATCCTATTGTCCTGGTGATCAAACATCACGACTTGGTTACGACACACACGATTTTGACGCAAAGATTCTCGTTAGAAAGGAATGGAACGAGATTGACACTTGTGATTAACAAGAGATCGGTATGTTATTTGTCTCTGATCTGGATGAGTGTTCCATGAGATGGAAAAAACATAGGTGACTGTACCCACTCAATGTTATGATGCATTATGGCTTCTGCTTCATCATCACGATGTTTATCGACGGACAGCTAAGGCACTCATGGACGATCTGGAATCACCACGCGCGACTCTCGACACCTACCTTTGCATCACATATTACTACATTGAGGTGCTTGTAGCGTTCGTTCAAGAAGTGAACGATGATGCACCAGCAAGCAAAACATGGCGCTCGGCCCATCTCGACTATCATTTTGCGATGGCATTAAACAACAACGCATTCAGCGAGTCCATGCAACACTCTACTCTGTCAAAGATCAAACGTACTTGGAATGATTTCCGACAGAAGATGGTCTACACACATGTGACGCAGCGTGCGTTACCACCGGCTACTTATATCATCCCTTGCATGCTGATCCAGTCATGAAGTTACAATCACCTCGTACCACGAGGAATTTTGTAACGGCCAAGAAACATGTGCGGTGATCCGTCCGTCGACCACTGTGTTTCAGTAGAAGGTATGATTGCAGCGATGATAACACCAAGGAATAATAGCACCGGAACGGCCATCGAAACAGAGAAGGCAAAGAAGAAGGTTCGCTTGAATCGTGCTGAAATCAATCAGCAAAAGCACGCCAGGTTGACCACCCAAAGTGTAAAGACAACGGTAGGGCCAACAACGTCCGCAGCCACAGCCTCCGAAATGGAGCATGACAGCGACGAGGCGGCAAGTCTGATCGATATGAAAGAAGATGGACGGAAATCGCATGCAAATGAGAAGGGCGGCCGTCGAGGACAAGTTCGTGTCAAAGATGTACGAAAATCACGTATACATCAGAAAGGCGGCCGTCGAGAAACGGTTCGTGTCATACACGTAGAAGGAATGTACTGAGTTTGCTCGTCTTGCAGGCGGCTCTTGAATTAGATGGAAAGTTCGGCATGGTATGTAACAACTTAGCTATGTCAGACAGATGCATTGAATATTCTGTTCAACACGGTCAGGGTCGCTCCAACCATCCTCAGGTGGACGCAAATATTAGGGGCAAAAGGGTGACATTTATTGAGTCTGAAGACGAGGTGTTTTGCTTATTATGCGATTGAGAGCTTGTGGGATTGATCTTATTCAACAGGACGTCAATGGCAACCCCATAATGTCATCATCAACAGCTGTGCATAGACCGACTCGTGCTCCCACAGCTGCTAAAAGGAATGGAAAACGCAAAGCGATAGTTGAGTCCGAACCGGAGGTCTGTCTCGCTCTGCGGGACCGCACGTTGTTGATTCACCTTGTCGAATAGGATGAAAGCAGCAACGTTGCGTCACGTGGTACATCTCTGAGCGTTGCTGAGATCGCCCAACCAGACGCAGATACAGACAACGAGGTGGGCTCGATATGAAGCCGGTCCAGGCTACCGCTTCACGGTCTCCATTTTGATGATCTTATGCAGGAGATCGATGGGATTGACACGGAGCCTGATGGCGTTGACAACGCTGCGGCCATCCCGGTGAGTCATCGATGAATTACCATGTCACAAGATACAATCTACCATCAGCGAGCAGGATCTCGGACACTCAGTGCATATTCAATTCCCGTCTACCCTTGAAGACTGGGAGGAATGGAACTGGATAGCATTTCAGAAGGGCAACTCACAGATTTTCCTGAAGCTTGCAACATGGATACTACTTCGATTCAGACAGCTGGCGAAGATACCCATTCATGGGGATCTCGACGCGTTGCTGATTCCCGAGAATCCGGCATCTTTTCACATGGAGCACGAGTCTGATGTCCATGAGGCACTGGGGATGACATGTCTCTATTCCGCGGTCGCGCACATGGACACACATCCAGAGTTCCTCGCCCACATCTTCCATGAAATTGGA